CATTTTCAAATTAAATTTTGTTCTTCCAATTGCACATTTATTTAGATTTTCTATTATTATGAACTTTCAATTTCCTGAGGAGATTCTAAAAAAAATGTTAATTGCAGTGAACGAATTGCTTTAATATTTTATTTATCATTTTCAAATGAAATTTTGTTCTTTCAATTGCACATTTATTTAGATTTTCTATTATTATGTAGACTTTCAATTTCCTGAGGGGTTTCTAGAAAAAATGTTAATTCCAGCGGACGAATTGTCGCTTTCCAGAATGAAATCGAGATCAGGATGGAGATCGAGATTCCTGCTATTGTTCACAGCACGAGAATTACTTTCGCTGCTTTCGATTTTCGCGATGCCTGTGATTCAACGGTGACAGCTTCAACCGGTACCCAACTTTCGTTCTCGCTTAATTACGATGCACGATCATTTCAGCTAGAATTAGAGCCCCCCGGCTGTAGTTTCAAGGAAAAAAGAAGAAAAACCGCTGTCGCGTAATTGTACGCTTTTACTTTCGATTGTTTTGCTGGTAAAACGAATGATTTAATTGTTTCCTTCTGCGTGGCAAGCGTTAATTAGAAAGTTCTTTAATCGCTCCCGAGTTAACGACAAGTTTCAGAGAAACGTAACAAATTTTTATTCCAGTTGAAATTAATTTCAACTATTTCGAATCACTTTTGATTCGATCGCAATAAAATCATTCCAAGCGTCGATGAATAAATTAAGAAAGGAGCAAACGTATCTCCCGTGCAAAACGCGAAAATCATCCGGCTCGTTCCGCCTTGTCTTTAACGCCGTTTATTATTTATTGTCCCGCTAAAGTGGCTCGAATTATTCTTCGACGTCTAGCTGAACGTTCCGCGTGCATGTGAGCGTATCACCGTAAACCAGATTCAAGATCAGGTTCAACAAGTTTGCTGGGAACATCAAAGTAGCATATAAATCTTGTTGCTTTCCACTTTACTTTCTTGGGGGCATTTGCAAAGATTTGCGATACGCGTTCGCGTCGACCGACTTGCCGATCGAAAGTGAATCGTTCCAAGTGGGAAACGAGACACGGATCGGTTCTCCTGGATCTTTTCACGATCGAAAGGAAATTCAAACATTTTTCCTATCGATGGAAATTTATTTTTTTTTTATTCAAACGACTGGTGTCAAGTTTACACCCTTCCCATTTTCTTTCCTCGCACGTTCACGTGCTCGGCCTTCCAAGCCGGTAGTTTCTTTTGGGTCGCTCTGTACGACAACGTGTATGCTGGCATTGAGTTATAGTCGTAGTAGAATAGAGCAACTAACCAACTAACCACGAGACGTCAGTAGGACAGTGAAAGGCGACCTAGACCAAGTCTCTCCGGCGCAACTCTGTTGGAACTTGACGAGGAACGCTGCCTCTTTTCGTTTACCTGCCTACCTGTGATCGTGTATGTGTGCCCAGGTGTTTCTTCTGTCGTTCGAGAATCGTTCGTCCCTCTGTCTTGATAGCCGAACGAAGTTTGGACAATTCGTGATAATTCCAGATCCTCTGAATCAGAGACTTCGAGCCGGACCAAGTATTTGGAAAATTTTTTCAAATTTTTATTAAATATAATTCGTCAGGCGCGATACGTTCGAGGTCTAATTAAAGATAATGGAAGAATAATGTCTGGATCGAAGGGAAAATGAAATTTATTAGAATGTAATGAGAAAGCGAGAAGTACGCACGTGGGCTCCCCGCGAGAACTCTTACGAGATATTTGAGTCCCCATTCAAGCCTACGGCAACATACCACGACAATTTATTACCGGAAATTTCTTTTCTCGTTGCATCATAGTTAGAGTATATGAAATCTCGAACGAAATCAGAAATGCGAGAGGAATTTCCAATTAGCCTGCGATCGATCGCCTGGAATTTCATCGCTCTTTTCAAGCGATCATTAACGAGCGTGGAATTAGATTATAAATCGTTGATAATTAGCTTAAACCTATTGACACTAATTCCGTAACCATGGAACTTCTGTGCTCGAACAAATTTATTATCTATAATTAATTTTGTTAAATACCTGAAGTTTTATCTAGGGGACCAAATATAAAATGAACATTCTAAATCTCATGGAAATAAAAATATTAATTAGCAGTGGTATAGAACAGTGGCGTCCCTGTTAAATCCACGACATTATACGCGCGATAAATCTGAAACAGAGTCAGAGAAACCGAATTCCCGAACTAAAATTATCTTCCGTTCTGTTAGCGATAAACGAACCGTTTCGTTTAAAATAGCACGAGAAAGGAAGGCTTCTCTTTTCCCTGTTAAAAAAGCCTATCCAAGTTGGAATATGTATAAATATTCATAAACCGATTTCTTGCGGAATATTCGAAACGATGATTTTTGAAGAGCGTGATTCATGGACGAGCAGCGGAATCATGAATCGAGGGACTGTTGGCTCCGATGATTTTCTCTTCGCCAGGTCGAATTGCCTGAAAAGGATTTACGATCGACAAAAACAGACGATCGTCATCGTTGGAAGAAGTTTCACCATCTTCGAGTGAGAGAATCGATGCCTCTTGTCAGTAGGCCCTTTCGATTTCGTGCCGATTGCAACGCGTGTGTCGACATTGCCCTCCTTAACCGGCGAAAGTTCTCGGCTAATTGAACTTCTTAATCATCGACTCGTTCCCTAACGTCGATCGTTCCTCCTTGAATTTCCTTCTAACGATCTCGCTCGTAATTGGACGCCCGGTGGTTTGTCGCGCGAAAATGATGATTGAATTTTTCTAGGATCTTTTGATTTTGTATTATAATTAATGAGACCACAAATGAAGAAATTATTTTGGTTTTATTAAGTTTTTATTAGATTTCAATTAAATTTTAAGAAGGAAAATATTTCCTGTCGGGCAAATCGATTCCTCCTTCGGCTCGAATTGCCTTCTAATTGGACGCCCGGTGATTTCTCGCGCGAAAATGATGATTGAATATTTCTAGGATCTTTTAATTTTGTATTATAATTAATGGGACCACAAATGAAGAAATTATTTTGGTTTTGTTAATTTTTCATTCAATTTCAATGAAATTTTGAGAAGGAAAATATTTCCTGCCGGGCAAATCGGTTCCTCCTTCGGCTCGAATTGCCTTCTAATTGGACGCCCGATGGTTTGTCGCGCGAAAATGATGATTGAATATTTTTAGGATCTTTTGATTTTGTATTATAATTAATAAGACCGCAAATAAAGAAATTATTTTGGTTCTGTTAATTTTTCATTCGATTTCAATGAAATTTTAAGAAGGAAAATATTTCCCGCCGGGCAAATCGATTCCGGGAAGGTTGTTCGATTCGACACGTGGAGAATAGACACGCGACGGGTTTGAACATTAACGGGTCAATGGCGCGCAAACGGCACAGCGCCCGTAAACACATTCGTATTCTTGGACAGTGTGTTTTTGGAGGTCGGTTACCGTAGTCGGCCAATTAACGTCGGAATAAAATCCGCTCGTGTACTCGGCTTTTATTATCATGCGCGGGACCATTCGACAGGAAGTTTCTTGCTCGGAGTCTTATTTTCAATCGTTTTGCTCGACGATGGAATAAAATTATTTTGTTAAATTAATTGTTGAGATATTATATGTTGAACGCCACAGTGAATTAAAGCTCTAATTACTAAGAATAATAATAATTAATTATTAAATAGTAATAGTAAAATTAATTTTATATATAATAGTAATAATTAATTTTCAAATTTCAAATTTCAAGCTTTCTATTTGCCATTTCACATTATTATTAAATACTGTTTTCCTATTTTTTTCTTTGAATTATTCAGGCGTGTGTAAGTTGCGGGGCCGGTCACCGGTGACCCCCATGGCGTTCAATGTGTTCGCGTTTAGTTTTTTGACAAAATCATATCAGTGTACCTAAGAACCGTGCGTCGCCGACTCTCCGGACGACTCCTTTCCGATATAAAGCACCACGTGTCGCGTTCCTTCAAGCGAAATTTTGACCATTCGAAGTACTTCTGGGTCACCCGTTGTATCTTCGGACGTTCTAGTCCACAGACTCCTACTCGCTGTTAGTGAAAACCGCATCGTTAGGATAGCCGGTGCAATCGAACAGAAGGGAAATTAGGAAAGTCGGGCACCGATGAAAGTGAGAGGATACCGGCTACAGGATATTTCAGTCGCATTGTCTCCTTCCTATTCGCATCTGATGTTCCTTATATTTTAATCGACGAAATGTTCTTTTTAAAATAAAACCAGCAGAGGATAGCTTTCAGATTTTTGTTTAAAGTGGCGTTAATGGGAACAGGGAAAACTGTGAATGAATATCGATGACGTTTACACGCAAACACGCAATCGATCTTTATAAACAATCGATACGGATAAAATCGGAGAACTGGAATTTTAAGACGAAATTCTACGAAAACTGTTGGATAATTACATCCATCATTAACGGATCATTAGGTGTACAAATTAATTCAGTGCCTTTAGTATTACGCCTTCTTAATTAATATTTTTAATTTGAATATTTTCCCGCGGTTTTGATTATTTGAAAAGCGACAAGACAACATAATAACAATAATGATTATTTCAATAATTGGAATTACTATGACTTTTTAAAAATAAGTCTTCAATTACAATAAAGAGAAGGTTACAATGCACGAAGGTTCTCAAAATTATTTCTGTTAAACTTTGTATTAAAGGCTTAATCCCGTTTAGTAATGAATTAATAAATAAATAAATAATGAAAAGATTCGTTATCTCGCACGCGAAATAAAAGAGGGGAGATCCTATCAGCAGGCAAAAAAGTTTCTTGTCGCAAAATGATAATCATATTTCTTGCTGTCAGAAAACAAAAGCCAACAAAAGTAATTTAAAAGAAAAATATTTATTTCTCGGTTTCAGGTTGACCGTTCGAATGCAAACCGTTTGAGCGGTCGCGAGGATCCTCTCACGAGGAAGAATCCTGGGTAGAGGGTGCGAAAGGGTGAACGAAGAGAAAGAGAACAAGACGGAGAAGGAAGGTATAAGAATCGAAGGATATAATGGCAGGTGAAGACACACAAATCCTGGCGAACGGAAACGTCGAGGCATTGACGATAATCCCGCCGAAAATGGCGAACGGAAACGGACTGATCTGCGGCAAACAGCACAACAACAACGGCTCGATACCAAACGGGAAGTTGCACGAGATCAGCGGAGTGGAGAACGGCAAGTTGATCATGTCCGACGAGAAATCGAGCAGCCTTCATACGGAATTCGACGACGCGGATGTGTCTTGCGGATGGGGACCCTGCAGACCCCACTGGCTTCAGTATTTCGCCACGAAACAGGCGTTTTTGGTCACCTTCTGCATCACTTGGGTTCGTGAATATTTTTATTTTCAAAACAACCCTATTTTATACACCATTTTCGATATTTCCAATTAGCTGAGGTATGAAAGGAAATGTTTATTAAGGGGTTAGGCCACTCTGGAGCAAGAAAAAATAGGCATATTTTAGGAATTTAAAAAAAAAATGATGAAATAAATACAAATTCTGTAAGCATGCCTTAAACTTCAAAAATTAATTTTTGTATAGTGATTCAAGTCAAAATATGGACTGCAGCATTTCTTCAATGATTCATTTCTCCTGCAATTTTTAACTTAGGATAAAAAACCAAAATATTTTCGATTATATATGAGAACAGCTACCGAACTACGTAGGATTTTTTTGATATATTGATTTTCGCAAAAATGACGTATATTTTAAGAGAAAATGTAAAATTTCCAGAAAATTATTTATAACAAAAGAACTATGCGATATAATGAAAAAATCTTACGTAGATCGGCAGAGAATTTAGTTTTGGATAAACTATTAAATTTTCAAAACGATCGGTGATGATCTGTTTGATTTATGAGTCCAGCCAGTTTGAAAAATGCGTTTAAAGACTTCAGTAATGCTCGCAGCAGACCGAGGGGGTTCTCCAGAATTCAAATTTCGATTTTCGTACCCTTAATCTTTTCCCATATCATTTTTAATACATTAAGGCACCTTTCAAGCAAAAGAAAGAAAAAATCTCGATTTTTTCAAAATTCTAAAATGGCCTAACCCTTTAAAATAAGGTTCGTCGACGCGTTTTAATTACAGGTGCTCCAGGGTATGTACTACACGTACTTCGTGTCGGTGATCACGACGATCGAGAAGCTGTTCCAGATTCAGTCGAAGACCACCGGTATCATAATGTCAGCGACAGAGATCGGTCAGATCGGTTCCTCTCTCCTGCTTACGTACTACGGAGGCCAAGGTCACCGGCCTAAGTGGATCGCTTGGGGCATGATCCTGTTCGCGGTGAGCTCGTTCACCTGCTCGATGCCCCATTTCATCTTCGGCGAACAGCTGATCCATCAGAACAGCTCCGACCCGATGCCTGCACATTTTTGCAGCCTGCAGGATCGTTTCGAGAACAGCACGTTCGATAGGTGATCCTTCAACATTTTCTAACGCTACGGAAATTGTTTCCTCCCTTATGGATTAATTATAATTGAAAAATTTTCCCTCTTTTCGAAGCTTGAACTCGTCCACGACAACGTCGCACGTAAACACGATGCACAATTGCGAGGGTGACTCGTTGACCGAGCAGAGGATACAAAGCAAGATAACCACCGTGGTTTTGGCTATATTTTTCGTCTCTTTGTTGGGGGTTGGAATGGGTCAAACAGCGGTCTACACCCTGGGCATTCCTTACATCGATGACAACGTGGCTAACAGAGAAAGCCCGCTTTATTTTGGTAAGCGATATTTATTTGAAAATTTTCTACTAGTGGAATTAATTCTGGACACTTTTAAATTTTTATTCAAATTATTTAATATTTTATATTCTCTAAAATGTTCTCTAATTTTAGAGCATCGCTTATATAAAAAAATCAGTAAAAAGATCATTAAAAATTACATTTTCATCAAATCAAAGGAGGTAGAAAAAAATTAATATTTCGTTAGATATCCTTTCATGCGACGTTTCGTATTGCCAAGCGCAAAAACAAAAATAAAAAGAGTTTAGATTTTTTTAAATTAAAATTTTAAAACATTTACAAACCAATTCATGTGAAAATTTTAAGTACAAACATTATAAATTATAATAAAAATATTACAGTATCAATTTAACATTTTTATTCAAAGTGTCCAGAATTAATTCCACCAGTATATATTAGCCATTTGATAATCGATGCTTAATTGGTTGCACGTGTTTCGTTCCAGCGATCACCATCGGTGTGAGGATCCTTGGTCCAGCGTTAGGGTTCATCCTGGGGTCATTGTGTACGATGATTTACGCGGATTTGTCGGTGAATCCGCAGATCACGCCTACGGATCCGAGATGGGTTGGAGCGTGGTGGCTTGGTAAATTAAAACCTTTTACTTTTTTTTCAATTTAAACAAATATTTATCGATCGTTACCATTTAATATTCCAAATGTGACAGAAAACGATAAGAAAAATATGGAATTTGGTGTTTCAGGTTTGGTGCTAATATCCGCCATGCTGATGCTGGTTAGCATAGGGATGTTCGCGTTCCCTACTCGGCTGCCCGCTAGCAGAACGCCGCCGAAACGAGCGGACGCGAAAAAGCCTAGTCTCCGAGGTAAGCCCTGATTTATCGTGGCGACTCGGATTGTTCGTCAGAGTAGAGGAGGCCGGTGTTTAAGCTCCGGCTATCGGATCAGAGCGGTTTAATTTGATTTTATAGCTTCCCGTTAAGCCGTTCCGCTCGCGCGCTCGTGTTTCGTGGCTGGCCCGTAAAATTGCCCGGGGAAGATTCACCGAGAAAGATAAAAGTATTATCGGTCCCGTAACCACCTATTAATCGTGTTCCACTAGGTCGTCCTACCTTTTCGTTGCCACATTCTATACAATCCATTACGGTAGTCTAGAATTGCATGAAAATTTATTATAAAATTTCATCGACCATGCACCGCAGGGACGAACAATATACAATGGTTCGGGTTCGTTTAATTTCGAGGTCAGCCAGCAATCGCTGGTCGAATAAAAATATTTACATATCGCGATTTCCGTGGAAAACAGTGAAGGCATTATGTATCTGACGGACGTTTATCGGGATGCAATGACGGGCCAATAAGCTGATCCTCGATGCGTGAAGCTCGCAGTCAAGGTCAATGGTGAATTTAGGTTTCGGAGATCCGTCGTGTCTGCTCGTTCGATCGTGAACACGCAGCCGAACGCTTTCTGAAACACTGGCGAGCCCTTTTCTGGGAAGCCTGCGCGCCTTGGGACAGCAGGGCGACCCTTCGTCTGTTTATTCTTGGTTCGCTTCGTTGAAACTCTCGATCGAAGGTCGTGCAACATCTGCAACTCGCAGCAGAGATTGATAGAAAAATCTACCCTTCTATATATATATTTTTTTAAATTTCTAATATTTAGCTATGGGAAGGGTTACAAGGGTGTCCGTCACTCGCGAACGATATTTCCTTTCATACTTTTTACCCTTGACCGACAATCCGGCGGAATGTTGTTCCTGAAAGAGCGGACTGCTGCTGAAAATGCGACACGAGTAGCATCGATAATGAAACTCGCGCGTTCCGGTGCAGCACGTGCACTGTTCGGTTGCATCGTCTTCGAGCACGTTTCTTAAAAATAGCTTCATCTCCTTCGGAATCGTCAAAGGAAGTATTCTTTTCTCAAACTACAATAGATTCGAACAACGGGCATGTATTTGGAATGCAATTTTCCTCTCGTTTAACCGTCCCCGCTCGAGTTAACTCGGCTTGCAAGAAGCGTATCGAAGATGATTCAATTGAATAGAAGAATGAAAAAAAAAAGGAAAGAAAAATACGATCTGTGTCGCGTTTGAAGAGCGTGTAGAAACGCAACAGAGTTTCTCTCAGGAGGATGCAGCAAGGCGAATCGTGTCCATTTCTCACTGCTCCTCGGTCTGACCAAAAACACGACCCGCGCATCCGGTCGTGAGTGGATACCTTCTTCGCCGAAGAAGAAATATTTCTTATTTAAAACACTTTTATCATGTATTCCTGACTTTGACGCTTCACTTCGTTAATCCTCCTGCGATTACAAGGTTTTTCGGCTTAATCCCGGTTGGCTAAATTTTTCAACATTTTTCAACATTTTTCCGAGTAATATAATTAAAAAAGAAGCATCGAGGTAAGAAAAGGGATGGTAAGAAGAATGGTATCGCGAGTCAAACAATGATCGGAATTTGAATTTGCTGAATTTCTCGAGATTAACGAACTGTTTGAAACAAAAATGAGCTACTCGAAAAAATCGAGCTGAAAATTCATCTTCGAGTAAATGGAAGTTTTACTTTAATTATCTTTTTATTATTATTATTATTTCTTATAGAATATTATAGAAATAAATTTTTTCCCAAGAATTTATTAAAATCTGAGAATACATAGATAAATTTACAAAATAGCGACGGCTCGCTTTTGTTTCAAACAGTTCGTCGATTTCGAGTAATTCGGCAGATTGAAGCGCTCGAGAATTACGATTACTCACACACCTCCAGTGAAAATACGCTGAATTTCTACTATGTTACGTCGCGCGCGTTATGTCGGCCGAGGTGCACGAGACAGCTGAGATAAGTCCTCTGCCGGTGAGGATGCAACGGAGAAGAAACAGGGCCGTATATGCACGCAGAAATGCACTCGCTCGCGCGCGTGCCTACCAAGCGCTATGCACCACGCGTGACCGTGAACTTGCCCCACCTAGTGCACCAGTCGGTCAGTCATCATTATTAACGCATACACACGTATAACGCAGACACACAACTGCCGATCCTTAATACTCCTACGTACGCGTGGTACACACTGAACAATCTGTGCTTTTAGGAACTTTTTATCAATTATTATCTTACATTATAGGTAAACTATTAATTTTTAAAGCGCCGCTTATTATTGCTTCCCAAAGATAACTTGATGAATTTGAAAAAATTTGTTTTACAAAAATTCCTCGAACCTTTGTTTAGGGGTGACATTTTTCTCCACTCTATTTGAAAAAGTTTGTTCTACAAAAATTCCTCGAACCTTTGTTTAGGGGTAACTTGAAACTAGAGGGAAATATATTTCTCCACTCTATTTGAAAAAATTATTTACAAAAATAGAGCGGAGAAAAATATTTCCCTCTAGTTTTAAGTTACCCCTAAACAAAGGTTCGAGTTGCAGTGGCTAGAACTTTTCTAGGGAAAGGAGAAGGATCAAGGTGTTCAGTTTTAAAACAGCCCGTTCTGGAAGTGTATCGAGTTTCGTAAGGGGTTCCGTGGGGAAGCTGCGCGTTCGAGTTTCGACTTTCTCGAGCTGCAAACGGCACGGTCCTAAAAACCGAGGGCATTTCAAGGCACTCGAGCGTTTAGCTGATAAAAAGGGTGAAATGTCAGGGAGTTATTGGCGGTATCGTTGTACGGGCTACTTCCGCGTTCAGCCTCGTCACGAAACGGTTCGTGGAATGCTAGAAAATTGCCTTAAAGGACGTTGCTGTCGAATCGTGTCCCGCGAATGCACGCGATTCGCGTATTACACGGTCACTTCCTAGCCTTTCTGCCTTCTACCGACATTCCACCTTCGGGATTATCTCTTTGATATCGCCGGGAAAACTCTCGGCTATTTCCTTAATTATTCATTTATAAAATTCATTGTTTCAATCTACCGACTTCGTGACTGCATTTTTTTCTTTTATAAAGATCATCTGTTGCTAAAAGGTGTAAATGTACTCGGGTCAATGTTTGTGAAAATAAAAGTTAGAAAGCTTTTAGTACTTTATCCGATTGAACGATAAATCGTAGTCGTCGGTAATCGCGTATAGTCACGAAGGTAGAAGAACGGAGTATCGTTTAGTGGCTCTTCACAAGTGGCCACCCTGTATGTTCTTTCTGCAGGGTTGTCGCGATAATACACGAAGCACAATGTTAGTCACGTTTGTCTACTCATGGTCTGCAGGACTTCTCTATGCGGGGTTGCCACGACTCTAGCCCGGCCTTCCTGGAAACCTAGAACAGTCCTAGGCATCCTTAATGTCAGTTTCCACCGAGGCTTTCTCGAACGGAAACCTTGCATCCTTTCCTTTCTCATCGAGATTCTTCTGCTCCTTTTCCTCCTCTTCCATCGTGGAATTTCCATTTTTCTACTATCGCACGAAAATCGGCGATCGGATCGTTCGATTTCTCTTTCGTTGCATTCGTAGAATCGGTAATTATTTTTTAGGGAATTTAATTAGCGATCGCAGATCGAAATATTTAGACCTGGTGTTATTTAAAAATTAATTTCTAATGTGTTACAAATTTTGTACCAAAGTGTTAATAAATAAATAAATTTAATATCCCGGGGTAGTTTTCTACTATCGCACGAAAATCGGCGATCGGATCGTTCGATTTCTCTTTCGTTGCATTCGTAGAATCGGTAATTATTTTTTAAAGAATTTAATTAGCAATCGCAGAATATTTAGACCTGGTGTTATTTAAAAATTAATTTCTAATGTGTTACAAATTTTGTACCAAAGGGTTAATAAATAAATAAATTTAATATCCCGGGGTAATTTTCTACTATCGCACAAAAATCGGCGATCGGATCGTTCGATTTCTCTTTCGTAGTTGCATTCGTAGAATCGGTAATTATTTTTTAAAGAATTTAATTAGCAATCGCAGAATATTTAGACCTGGTGTTATTTAAAAATTAATTTCTAATGTGTTACAAATTTTGTACCAAAGGGTTAATAAATAAATAAATTTAATATCCCGGGGTAAGATCGCCCGTCGATCGATTGGCGCATCGATGCAAGAAAGGATTCACTCGGGGGAGGAGAGATTTTGATGCAAAAATTCTGCAGGTCGCGATTCCTTGGCTCGCGTCCGCCTGCAGAACGCTCCGCGTACTCGCTACACCTCGCCTTCTCTCTACCTGTTGCAGACTTCCCTAAAGCGGTGAAGAGGCTGTTGAAGAACGACATTCTTATGTTCCGGACGGCCAGCAGCGTGCTGCACATCCTACCGATCGCCGGCCTCTACACCTTCCTGCCAAAGTACCTTGAGAGCCAATTTCGCTTGCCAGCTCATCATGCGAACATGATCTCAGGTAATTTTCACGAATAGACACGCGAGAACGAACCTCCTCGCGTTCGATCCTTTCGATCTTCGATTTATTTACAAAATGATCAAATCCATCTGTTGAATTTCACTGACTCTTAGAATTTTTTTAATTTCATATTAATCACCATTCGTCTTCGTTTATCCTTGAAACGACATCGTAATATCAAATTATTGTAATTGTGTATTATAAAAGGAACCTTGTCCTTACGTAAGATTCTTCGTACGGAAAAAAAAGACAATACTTTCAATCTATTTGCATCGAATGACGGAATATTCCATCGAGATACACGGAGTGTTATTCAAACGAGTGACCTACTCCGATTTCGTCTGAATTTCATGCGAATTCGACAACAATGAAAGATCGTCTAATTAATGAAACATTGTCGTGACACGAGGCTGTTTTGCATTTCTACGTGCCGTTGTCTGTCCCGCAGGTGTCGGCGGTATTTTAGTAATGGGCCTGGGTATTATAATTAGCGGAGTGTTTATCCTGAGGGCGAAGCCTAACGCCAGGTTCGTCGCGGCCTGGATCGCCTTCACTGCGGTTGTTTATGCGATCGGTATGGGTGTACTGATGTTCATCGGTTGTCCGATGGACGATTTCGCTGGTCTCGTTTCTCATTCCGATGGGTAAGATTTTCTACGATCAAAACTGCATCGAAATGAAGAATTTCGTTAAATAAAGAAAAGGGTTTTCCTTTGATTCTTCTAGATTGTCCAGTTTCGAACCGACCTGCGATGCTAGCTGCGATTGCGTTCGCAATAAATTCAGTCCAATTTGCGGTGCCGATGGGAAAACTTATTTTTCTGCCTGTCATGCTGGCTGCTTTAATTATACCGTGGTAGATGGCAAGGTTGCATCGGTAAGTACCGTTTAAAATATTCATTCTCACCTTTTCAGTCTAAATTTCGATTTTCTATTTCCAATTAGCAAATTAATTTTTATATAGTACCTACTTGAAATTTTTTAATCCTACCTTCTATACAAATACAGTGTAAGACATTTACAATTTTGAGATTGTATTTTTCAATTGTTGTTGCAAATTCTTGATGATGTAATCGCGGGAGATATTGATATATAGCGCATTGGGAACAAGCATGGTCGTAATTGTCGGTGACAGTCGCATGCAACTAGGCCAGAAATGTTTCGTTGTTCTACCATTTACGGGCGAAATCGCATTATTCGCGTGGACGAAACAATGCTTCATTGATTGCGCAACAACAACACAAGTCATTACTTTCGCAATTCAACGCGCCCGACGCGAACATTTCGTTTACAGTTGTTCGAATTTTGCCAGACACAAATTGTGTCCCGCGATTCTTTGATTGCTCGATCAAAAATTTCACGCTTATCCTTCAGCTAAGAGACTAATTATTGTATTATAAATATTTAATTTACAAATGATTGAATTAAAATTTACCACCCAAACTCCTTCATACTATCGGATGTGTTCGTTTTAACTCATTTCTTCCCAGTGTTGCATTCTTCACAAAATACAGTAAAAATGAACTTATACAAAACTCATTATGCATGTGTTAAAAGGCACTAACGAGCTCTGTGTCTATGTGTTTATATTTCACAATTAGTTTAACACTTTGTGAAAAAAAATAAATTACTGAAAACATCTTCGCAGTGTTTTTCAAAATTTCATGGGTGATGCTCTCATATTTTTTCATATAATCAACAATGTTGTACATTTTGAGCAAATAAAAGCATGTGATCAAAAAAAATTTTTATTTTTTTACCAGGAAACTCCCAACGTTTTTTATTTTAATATTTATAATGTTATTTCAATTATTTTAAAATAAAATTGATGACAAAATATCATATTTTTTCACAATTTTTATTTTTGCGAAGAAATGGGTTAATTAATCCACTTTGATAACTACCATGTTAATTAGCAAGGGGTCGTTTCACGGATTTTATAGTTTTACAACTGCCAGTGCATCGGGACGAACGTAACGACACCGGAAATATTGAGCACCGCGACGATCGGTTACTGCGAGCTCGAGTGCAGCAACTTTTGGGTTTACATGGTCCTGTTCTCGGTGTTCGTATTCATCCATTCTACCAGCGAGGTGGGCTCCATGCTGCTGATTCTACGCTGCGTCGATCCACGGGACAAGGCTATGGCTTTGGGTCTCATACAATTCGCCATAGGCCTGTTTGGTAATTATTTCTCACTCTCTTCCCTTAATTACACCTTCGTTATGAAAATTCTGATTTATTTTTTAAATAATTCGAACTTCGACGATAAATTTGTTAACAGCCTATGAGTTCGTTCTTCTGATTCCAGGTAACGTCCCGTGTCCTATCGTTTATGGTGCTGTGGTGGACTCGGCCTGTCTCGTATGGGAATACGCTTGCGGCGAGCGAGGTGCTTGCTGGCTTTACGACTCAAATGTCTTCAGAATGTTCTATCACGGTACGTCTATTGATTAGAAAGAAATTTGCAAGGTGTCATAGATAATTATCCCTTCAAATTTAATTCCCATACAAGTTTTCTATTTTCCTCCCACTTTTCAAATTTTAAGCTTCCATAGTAGAAATACCTATGTAGATAATAATAGATTATTATCTAGATTATCCAATTAATAGATAATAATAGATTATTATCTAGATTATCTAATTAATAGATTTCTACTATGGGAGCTTAAAATTGAAAAAGTTGGAGAAAAATAGAAAATTTGTATGGAAATTAAATTTGAAGGGACAACTATTAGAAAATTATACAAAGAATTATCCTAATCAAGAAATACCTGTATATGAATCCCAGGGACAACGGGTGGAATCCTGGTGCTGGCGTTTGTGGTGGACATAGTGGTCTGGTACAAGGCTGGCAGCATCAGTTTCGTAGAGGAACAGGAAGCGGAGGAGGGTACCGTGGAGGAGATGACCACGTTGAAGTCGCAGGACGCGCAGACGGTGGACAACGACTATTTGTGAAACGAAGTCCCGGTCGACTTCGATGGGTATCGTATGAACCAGGCCTGAATGTTAGCGTCGATGAACCGGGACGAAGCGTGACGGTGGCGTTCCTAACTGTTCCGAGCTCGTTGCCAATCGCGAAGCCAGAAGGTATAGAGCGGGTCTTCGGGCCGTCTTAGAACTCGGTTTTAATCGTTCAACGAGGATACACGCTCGGGGGACCGTCGACGTCGATCCGAAAACGAACGGCACTGGTGCTCGTGTCAATCGCCTTTCGCAACTCGACGACAGAATCCTGGACGAAACGGAATAAACCTGTTGCAAGCGGTGCTGGGCGACGGAAATGCATGCCCGTAGTTTCCGAAGAGACTGTGCTGGGGCTCGGAACGTGTGCATCGAAGGAAGAAACAGAGAGGAAAGGGCAATTTTCATGATCGACCTTTGCTTTGAGCTTATCTTTCGTCGGAAGATTCAACTGGGATTAATCAAGGATACCTTAAGGAGTGGATTTTTCCAGGTAGAAATGGGATGATCAATGACAGTGTTATTCAATTTGAAACACTCGAAGTTGGCTGGAAGGAACACAATTTTCAGGAGGAAGTACTACCGAATGGAAGTGTCGATCACTTCATTTCCATCAATCATTGCGAATTAGCCCTGTCAGCTGACGAAGACGAAGAAAGGTGTGAGAAGTGCATGCTTTGTTAGTTCATCCAAATTAGGCTTCTATTTTGAAGAGGAGAAACACAAGGTAATTTCTTGCATAAACGATCTGGGGTGGGAAAAGGAAATAAGAATCTCGGGGCACCGTTCCCTCGGCATTCGAGGTTCTCGGATCTCGGCTGAGCTTCTCTTAGGCACTACCGTCCGTGTTTCACTCTGCAAATACACCTAGAACGTAGGCAAACTGTACGTACAAGCGATTTACGATGTATGCGTGTGTAGATTGATAACATCTCGCTGTTCGAATGGGGATTCGTGGAGAGAGAGAATCAGAGAACGAATGAGTAATTATGGAGATACATAGGACATATTTTTAGACGATTTGACGATGAAACCGGGGAGTAGGTGAACAAGAGGTGTAACGTTAATTAATTAAATACAGGTAAGAGGGAAAACGACGAGAGGGATAGAAATGATGTAAACGCGAGAGTTGTATTTTAATACAATACATTTTACACACGCTTTGAAGACACTCTGTCGTCTCGTGCTTTTAGTGCTTTCTGCGTTCATCATTTTCCGGTTGAATGGCTAATCTGGTCGCTGATTAACTCTTTGGAGACAGAATAAATTTGCTGGTTTTTCTCAGATATTGCTCAAAGATATTCTCAAGGGAAACATTGAATTCTGAGTTCTCTTCAAGAATCAAATTTTACTTTGAAATTAATTTTCAAAGATCTGCAAAGAGTTAATTAAATAGGTATTCAGAGCGGAAGGGAAGTAGAGGAAACGCGTACTATTAATCGCTGTAATGTTTAAATTATTCGATTCAGGGGCATTACATTTGCGTATCTTTCGAAAAGTCTTTGGCTGAAATTGTTGCCCGCCAATTCGAAGATGATTCTTCTAATAAAACAATATCGATTTCAACTCTATGTTCGAAACACAGCTGTCCGGTTTTATCGATCTCGTCGAGGACAATTTAAAGCGAGGAAACGGGAAATATATTTTTCGAGAGCTTTATGTTTGAACGTGGTTATATATTTCTCCGTCGATCCCAGAAACCGGAGAGCTGCTCCTAAAAATCGAGCGTGACGAGAATTTTTCGCGAGCGACAGATCGAAGAAACGGCGACGCGTTTCCATTTTACATTTACTTGAAAGTTACCATTTAATAGGAACGATTCTCGTGTGGTAATTTGAAATTAGACCCGGTTTAATAATTAATCCCTTCGATCCATCCGATTGAATCTAAATTCGTTTCTCGTGCTCTAAATTTTCTTTTAATTAATGCTCCTCTTATTCGAAATTTCCTATTACAGTCGCCTGAAAATTTATTCAGGGTTGTTCAGGAAAATGTCCCCAATTCAGCCGATTACTTTTCCAAAATTCTAAGCAGAAAATGAAGGAAAGTAAGGAGATTATATTCAGATTACCAGACGATCTACCGTCACTCCAGAAATAATGAAAAAATTCAAAAATCTATATAGAGTTATCCAAATTGAGTAACACATCTTCAAATTGAAATAAAACGCAAAGTATTTGATTTTTGTATGGTTACTTTATTTCAATACAAAGTCTATTTTATGACAGCGGTCCTTCTCCGCTTTTTTTTGTGAGCTTGATAATTTTTCACGAGGAGGAGACACCAATTGCCACCAAGATCGAAAGATTAAACACCATTAGATTTTTTTAATGGGTTTTATGGAAAGTGAAATTTACGCCAATAATCCAAAGACTATTGACGAGCTGAGTAATAAAATCACAGTCGCTATTGATGAAATTGAATTCCATTTATATTTCATTGTATTCCAATTGAATTCCATATAATGAAAAATTGGGTGAAACGCATGAGGCTCGTAAAAAAAGCCAGGGACATTTGAATAATATTGTCTTTGATAATTAATGTCATACAGTAAATTTTGTATTAAAATCACATACTTTGCATTTTATTTTAATTTGAAGATGTGACACTAAATTTGAATAACCCTTTATATAAAATCACTTGAACTTCTGGACTTTGGTAGAATCGTGAAAACTGAAATCACCCTTTCAATGATCTTGAATTTTGCAAACAGCAAAGGACGATGATTTATGCATTCTATGCATCGAAAGGGTTGAAGTGTGCATGATCGTATGTGTGATTGTGCGTGTACACTTGTAGCAGGTAAATCGTAGGTGCAGTTGAGAACGATCGGATAGAGAGGCGAATACGGCCTTCCGTGCTCTCCCGTTGATCTCCACCGAGAATTGTATTTTTCTATTCGAAGCGTAATCTATATTTTAAATCGATCACACAGGTCGTGTAGCACAGCACGTTGGAGCCGATTCACCCTATCGATCTCTTCAATTTTCCCCCCCGTCTTGGCTACCTTCTAACGATTCGATCGATCCTCTCTAACGGGGGTAGTTAATCGTTATCTCGATGCAACACGAATAAACTAAACTTATATCTCTTATTTATATTAATCGAAAATATAAAAGACAAGTAATTTGATGTAATAACGTTTGAGATCAATTTGGATCGAGATAATGGGAAGAAAGGAGGATGTGATTGACAGTGAAACGAAAGTGTTTTATTTTCTTTTTTCTTTTTGACAGAAAGAAATATTTTTAATTTATTGAATGGAAGAGTTATGGATGAACGAGATATATATATATGTCTAATTCGCCCCGTATATTTTGACCACCAGCAGAGAAACATGGAATCTTCGAGCGAGTCCCCTTTTTTTATTATTTTTAGTTCTGAAACGAAGGCGTAGACAGTTACGTTTGCCTTTCGACCCTCGACACACATTATTCTGTATATTACGTGTACGATAGAGATGTAAATATAGGAGAGTACAATAATTGCCAAAATAATCATGGCGTGGAGCGAACAGAGTCTCAATGTTTATTCCCAGTGTTGCGCCGGAAGTGTTTCGAGGAGGGCGAACGATTTCACGTAATTTTTATCCTATTTATTATTTTACAAAATAATTTTTATCTTCGTTACTTTTATTAAACTTCGAAAGAAAAAATCAATTTCCTTAAGATGAAACTTAAATTATTTGGTGTTCTGTAATTATTTGGTATTTCGAATATTTATCGTCAACTAAATTTCCTCTGAAAATTTCGAATATTAATTTTTTAATTAGTCTTTAATTAATACGTACAATTTGTCCTAAATCGTTCACCCCGTTACGAAATAAATTGATCGCATTGCTGTGAGAATCATCGCAATGACGATGTCTCAATGATCACGATATAAAAGCACTGCCCACTAATTACTGCCAAATGTTTTCATCAGCCAATCTAATAACTGCCAGATTTATCCGAATCATATACAATTTTCTTACTCTTGCTTTAGCACGACGAACTTAATTACGAGTATGCTCAAAGTGTAATTAGTTTGATCGAAGACTTGGAAAGTAAGAGGATGCAATTTCTTAACTCGTCCCATTGAGTTGCTTGCATTTAACGTTTTGTCGCGTAAACGAGCGAATCGTATACATTTCTGACAATCTAAAGATAAAAAAAGACGATACGTTTTTTATACCAAACGCATACATTCGTTCAGCATTTAATCGTTCGCTAATCGTCGCATTGATTCTCACGATTCGATTCAAACGAGTCCCGATCACTGGCGGAACACAGAATACCATATAACAATTATATTTTAGTAAAAAAAAAAAATAAAAAAGAATTTATCGGTAATGTACTAGTAGGATAATCAACCGCGAGAGCGGAGACGGTTTTACCTAATTATAGCGGCGTAGTCCTTTAAGAGAACCATAATTGCTAGTCTTTAATCAGCGACGTGCACGCGTACAAGCACGTCAAACCGAAATATATATATATATATATATATATTGGATGTTTTATGAATTTTGGGTTGAAGCAACTTTAACGTTTCGCGAGAATTAATTAATTTTGTATCATAAATTTTAATCTTTATATCAAGAAATTTTTTTTTTAATCATATTTTAAATTCGTGGTGCTGGTCACCTACATGGTAATCAACTTTTACTATTAATTATACAATGATCTACTTATATTAAGAAATTGTAAAATTATTTATTATTCTTCAATGAAATTTTTCAAAGACTCTTTTACGAATCTCATTGATCAAATGAAATAATAATGCAAATGGTAATTTGCAAAATGTTAAAGTTGTTTCACTATTACAAAAATACACCTGCGCTTATGCGTGTGTATCAGGTGTAAGAAACGACTAAATCGGTGTAAACGAACAGGGACGGGGGGGTATAACGAGCGAAGGAATAAAAAAAGAATATAATGCCATTTTTATGTATACATATATTGTACTAATGATTATTATAAATTTCTGTTTAATTAATATTATTCTTACTACTACTATTATGGTTTAATACTATTGATTCTCGTTTATCGACTATTGCTATTAATTGATATGTAACGTTGTAATATGCGCTTTGATTTTTATACGTAATATATATATATATATAAAGAGAGAGAAAGAAAAAAAAAACGATTACTTTGTAGGAGACGTAAGTGTATTTTGATATAGCGCACTGTATGCGTGGCTGTGTGTACGTGTAAATGTGACACGAATAATTTTACTAAATGATCGTGTATATGGTAAAACGAATTTTATATTTGCAAGTTGAGTTTTCGGTACGTATGTTCTAATTTCTTTTTTCTCTCTACTGTGCTTACGTTTTTTTTAGCTAGATATCGTGCAAACAGTTACTTTTCCATAGACGAACGGTATCCTTGTCGTTGTTTAGGAAAATTTGATAAGAAATATTGGAAATTTTATTGAAACTAAATTTATGTATCTTAACATTTACTTAATGACTTAATTAAGTGAATTAATTAAATTAATTAAATGACTTAAAATTTATATATCTAAAAGGGTAGATGTACGCATTAAGGGTTAATTTTTTAATTTATCACTTAAGTTCGATATTTTTAATTACTGACTTTAAAATTTTAATCGTAATTATAGTTTATTAAATTTATCACACCTATGATAATTAATTAATTACAGCGCGCAGTAATGAATCTCACGTTAATATTTTCAACACGCTGCTGTTACCATTTAAACGATCGCTCACGAGATTTCTCGTGTTTCAATGCCGAGATGCGGTCCTTTAAGTGTTAATTAAAAAATTTTTTCTTTAATTTTTATCGATCATAGTTTTCCCAGGACAACGATACGCGATACTGTTGGTCGCGAACGTAATTCCTCCTGGAAGATGTAACACACGAAATCAAGACTGTACATACGAAATAGCAGGCGTTCGATGGACCTCCACCTTAAGGTTCCCACCACTATTCCCGACGTTTAAGTGCCTATACAGAACCGGATGAAAATCGCGTCTATTCTCCTCCTCGAACCTTCGTTGTTCTAGTTTCTAGAAGTGGGTAAGATACTATTTTGACGGCTGCGATACGACGCGAAATAGAACGAACGAACACTTCGTTTCCATGTTGCTGCAATACACACACCGTACACCAAATTGTTTCTCTTCGTTGTAGAATTTAACAGAGAGATGAAACGAAACGATAGAAAAAAAAAGAAAACCTGGTGAAAATCGAACAAACAGAAAAGGAAAAAAAATCAGAAAAATGAATAAAAGAAAATAGAAAAAAGGAATATATATATATTTACGATGAAAAATCAGTGTTTAAATGTTACAGAATAGAAACGTTTACGTTGCATTCGTGTGACAGTAGTTTGACGATGATTCAAAGAACGTAGCGAAACGATCGTCATTCCCACTTTAATGAATTAATATACCTATACCGCAGTTCACCAGAGTCCATAACTGCGAAAAGACCAGTTTTCGTTCTTCGCGCATCTCCAGTGCGCATCTTCGCCCTGATTGGCGATACTCCCAAACGAAGTGGAAAGCGATTGGCGGAGACCTCGCTGCGTTCCCCCACCATCTTCCAATCTGCGGGTCGCAGTCATGGACTCCGGTGAACTGCGGTATATATAAATATATATATATATATATATAAATACATGACTACCATAGATATATATGTTATACATACTGTACGTAAAAAAAAAAAAAAAAGACGAAATAGTATTTTATCTAACTGCTAGTTTCACGTCACAACGGAACGAAAGTCGTTCACCCTCGGCAGATCTCAGGCGCTCCGACAAAACGAACGTGGATCGTTTATTTTGTTATTCGCGCATAAAAGTCAGCCTCGCTCGTTTCCGTTGGAGCGCGTCTTATCGTATGTACACCAGTGTTCGCAGCTTCCATCGAGAATCAATTTACGACCTCTGTAAAGCTGTAATATTATATATATGTATCTGAAATGTGGCTTGAATTTTTGTCGAATAAACCGCTTGGTTTTTTCGTGTACCAATTAACCGACACCTTAAGTCAGTGTTTTTCTACGGTACGCAAAGATATAGGTACTTGAAATTGCGAGTATATTGGCGAGGGGCGAGTTAACGATAGGGTGGGTGCATCTTTAGGGAAATGCAGCGCTAAATGAATGCAAATGCCAATGTACTCTCTTATCTCCACGTTACTTTTCCGCGTAAATTCTTTTTTTTTCTATCCATATCTGCGCCGAAAGACACTGTCTTAAGTATAACAGAAGAAATCCCGAGCACAAAGTGTAAATGTACAAAACGAAGTTCAGTATCGAACGTTCCCATAGAAAACGGCAAGTGTGCATCGTATAAGAAAACAGGATTATTTGACAAAAATCCAGTGGAATTACCTTGGTACAATCTACCCATACTTCCCAGCACCTCTATTTCCGGTGATCGTATCGTACAAAGAAGATGCGATTGATTCGCGATGCTATCTGCGAATACAAGCTCGTTGCGTGTATATTAATTATAACAGAATATATATATATAAATGAAAGATTAAATTAAATAAATGAAAAGAAATATATATATATACACACAGACACAATACACACAAAGGTACACAAGCGTATCCGTGAAAAGGAACCTTGAGGTCGCGGCATGGGTCCTAGATAACCGAAAGTACCGCGACGAAGTGAACCGATGATATTTTGTTGCGCGTGCAGAAAGATGTCAATTTTTTCAGATAACACGGGAAAGAGACGATGATGAATAAATAAACCCCTTTGCATCACTGTGTAACATACCTCTAAAACGGTTTCATTAGTTTAATTAGCCTTCGGGTTATCGCTCGAAGATCAATCGTGTTCGATCGATATTTTTTCTTTTCTCTCGAACGAGACAGATTTCGCAATGAAAGACAAAGGAAATAAGAGAGATAGATAAAGTGATTTCGATGCTTGGTAATCCGAGGGTTAAGACTGATCCAGCAAACACGCTGTAAGAAAGCCAGATTTCGAGCGTATTTTGTAATTATGCTATTATTATATTATTATTATATGATTATTATTATTATTAATATTATTACTGTTTGTAATTACGATTACTATCGAATTTGTTTTTAATAAACGGCAGGTGCCATGATTACGAATCCATCGGCTATCGCTAATTAGTTGTTTAATTATTTTAGAATGTATTTTAGAGATCCTCAAGATAAATTCATGATTATAACGTGGCTAAAACAGAAGCACGATTCTCGTCTGTCATTAAACACTGTCCGAAAGCTTCGAGAAGCAAAGGTTCTTCCGTCACAGCCACTTTATAATCCTGAAAAGAGATTTTCCCGTCCCGATCGACGTCCAGTTTCTTTAAAGCCATTTCGGATAAATCTCTGACAGCTTCATCAGGATCTTCCTCTCCTGGTTGCTTCATTAAACAGTTTCTACAAGTAGAAAACAACGTTCATCAACTGCGTTTTTAAATTCAAATGTAAGCACGCGTTTAAAAAGAATGGTACTGCTAGCGCCATCTAGCGGCAAATAGTGGAACTAATGAAATAGAAAATTCCGTTTTTTAGCAAAATAAGCGGTTTTTGAGCCTGTTTGGAGCAAGAATGATAGTCTATAATCTCAAAGGAATCGATTAAATGGCTTTGTTTGGTCCTAGAGGCGTTAATTACGAAATTTTAAAAAAGTTCATTTTATGGACATAGAAACACTAGCGTCACATAGCGGCAAAACGGTGGTACTAACGGCAGTCCAAATAGTGGTATGGTGTTTGTAAGTGCTGAAAGATTGTATTGTTTTAAAGTAAGTAACGTGTTTATTTTTCAATTTCTGATACTTTTATCACAGTAAAGACCTTCCAAAATTATTTATGAAAGTATGTTAGTGGTATAAAGTGTCCCACGAGCTCTAAACAGTAAAAAAATCAAGCACCAGTAAAATCCAAATAGGAAGTGTTAATATTTAATGAAAGGAACCCGTAGATTTACGTTTTTTGATGTTAATTCTTTAATAACGCTATGTAGATTACGTTTTTGCATGAATTTTGATTGCTCTGCCCTAAAAAATGCTAGGAAATTATGAAAAATAGAGAAGCACTATCAATCCAGTGACTACAGGTATAACCTGCCAACTGTAAAGGCATAATTTCGACTCCTTTCTAGTCTTCTTTTATTAAGAAATCAGTTAGAATCAGCACAAGACCGAAAAATCATTAAAATAATTATTGCAAATTTATATTTAAAAAAAGATATGATCCCTAAATTGTCAGAAGCTTCCGCTGCGTTCCGATAGGGAGCGCTAGTGTTCCCCTGTTTCAAAAAGTTGATTGAGACTTACTGCTTAATACTAGACTTAAGGTTCTAAGTATCTACCTGATAACTAAACTCTGATGGGCTTCAAGTAGCCCAAAGAGGTTTTCTTCCTTTAATAATAAAAAAAGAAAAGAAAAGAAAATCGATCGATAAGTCGTTGAGTAGTTTGAGCCATTTTTGTATAGATGGCGCTATGATAAAAAATAAGCGTATACCCTACCCCTTTGAAGTCATATTAATTTCCTTAGTCACCGCTAGATGACAATGAGTACCCATTTTAAACGCTCGTTCAAATTTAAATTCAAAAATGATATTTAAATACAATTCACAGTTTTTAAATGCATAGTAAAACCCGAAGTGTAAATTAAGCAGAGTGCAAGGTGTACAGTAGCATAAACTATGTAAAGAGCGAATGAAACATCAGACAGTTACTTGAACAATTGAAATATCTCGTCTTTGGTGATGAACCCATCGTTATTGAGATCGTAGACTTTGAAACAAAATTCAATCTTCTCGCGTAGACTGCCACGGAGATACAGATCCAAACCCATGATCCATGGTTCTAATCTGATGATTCCTTCGTTCTCTCGATCCCAGCAGCAAAATATACGCTCCACCAATGTATCCTCTGTGATCACTTTGAAAGTATTGTGTAGAAGGTCTCGAAAAATGTTTCTGTCGATACCCTGAATGAAATTTTCCAAAATTAACTTCATCTAATTTATTCGCAAGGGTATGATTGAGAAACGGAGACGTTCAATGGATTGACACTGTGAAAACGGAATCGTGTGGATCGCATGTCTCTTCGAAGACATAATGACAGTCTCACGCACGCGATTTAAAACAGTGATAAGTGTCACTACCTCTATAACTTGATTCGGTTGAGATCTTCTAGAAGTGATAACCGATTGCCCTACTTGTTGCTGACTAGAATTAGTTAGCTTCTTGTACAGCTTGCATAAATTATCCAATTCAGACCTGCGTTAATTAAAAATCGTTCATTTATTAATTTAATACTATTGTTAATCAAAAAATGATTTCAATTATAAATTTTCTTGTTTTTTCTTTTTTTTCTAACAAATTTATTCTAATTTTGTTTCAGAATACTTGCCACGAGAATCTGGTCTTCCTCTTCAACGATTCAATTAATTTGACCGTGTGCGCGGAATTCCTGGTAGCCCCAACTTCCGGCATTCTTCTACGGTGCCTCTTTCGAAGCTCGTGCTTCGGGCTACCGGAAGTTTGCCTCTTCGAATTCACGGAAGCTTTGCGACCGCTCATCAAGAAGATCGAGACGCTTTTCATCAGCGTCGCCCCGGCGCGAAGGTTCGCGGCGCTTGTACCAGCGGCGCCGACGCCGACGCCGACGCTCTTCCCGCGTTCCATTCGAGGCTTCGCGCTCGACGAGAGGCTGCGATCGTCGGACATTCTTCTGGAATTCGTGAGTAGATCAAAGAGTAAATTTTCTTTGAATTTATTTGAGATTCAAATTTGAAAGAAAATTTAGATCAATCTTTTTTATTTCCTAAAATACGAGTTTAATTAGCTATGTTCTTCAAAAGGGTTGTAGTAAATTACTGTAAGTTAATTATTCACGAAAGGGAAACATCAGGTAGCTCTCAAGCTCGTTAAAATTACCTATTTCTTCGTTCTAATTATAGAAACCATAACACGAACGGAAATTGATCGCGCGAATAGTAAAGAAGCTATGGTTACGGATCGATTGATCAATAACATGCAATTCATCGTTTTCGATTGGAAATTAAATTCTACAGCCGCTACTGTAGAAATATTAATATTAAGTATCTTTTCATCGTGGAAAAGCTGATTGAAATCTGACTTGATGAATTGCAATAATTTTCATTCTTTTCCCATAAATTATATTTATTTTCCCTGGGGTGTTCTTATTGTTAGGTATCATTCCTTTCGTGATTTATTCATTTATATTTACGTCGATAAAATTTTTTCAATTTACCAAACAATCTCTTTAGTATGCATCGAAATTGCAATCCCTATTTGCATAGAAATTTGAAATCGTTGAGTCAATAGAGATTGAATCTCCTTGCGTGATCTACATTTCCATTCACCTTCTCGTTATCTGTGCACGTGTACCATTTATCTAGAAACTTTGTCCTAGATTTTAGCAGCTCAGAAAGTGCAACATTATTCGAACCGTATACCCTGGCAAAATTGAGAACTACTCAACGCGTGCCGGAAACTCGTTACAGAGGAAACGTGGAAAGTTTCTTACCGTGCACAAGATCAGTTCGTTTTCGAGAGTTTCTCCCTAGTTTTATTACGTTCCCTATGGCGGTATCCAATTTGATAAGAATTTCCTCCTAACAATCGTGTTAACAATAAACTTACCTGGAAAAAAGGAGTAAATACTAGGAATGCGATGGTTCTTTCTTAGTCGTCAACGGTTACCAAACATAATCGATCAAACTTCTTAAATAAAGGTAGTATTGTTACACGTAGCCATCAATAACCCCTCGTGATTCAGATGATTCAGACACTTTCGGTACAAGAATAATAATTTAATTATACCGATATTTATTAATTAAGATACAATAATATATTTTTGAAAAAAAATATAGTGAATAATGATTTTAAAATATAGAAACTTTCTTAGGTTGATTCATCGATGCAAATTTCGCCATATTATTTCCATTTAATCGAGTGAAGGGATGATGTTTCCTGGAACGTTGAAGTCCTGTTAGCAAATTTTTAATTTTTTCAATAATTTTCCATTATTTACCTGCAGAGTTTCTCGAACACACCACGAACATAAGTTATGTGATTCTGGATTTCTATTAATACGTTGTCCAAGTACTGAGCAATGTTCTTAACTGCTTTCAATTCCACGTCATTTGTTGATTCAATTTGTGAGACTGATGATCCTAAGAAAAATAATTTCTTACTTTTATTCTTAACAATGGGAGTCATTATTAATTTTACAATTACTTGACTTTGTCTGCTTCTCGTCATCCTGACCATCTTGATGATAAATGTCTAACTCCTCCGGTGAATTTAGGAGATTATTATTCAGATGATTAGCATTCCTCAGTAATGATTTAGTGAACGTCGCTGATGAAGATATATCCGTCATCTCGTTAATCGCGAGATCAACGTTCTTCAATTTATTCGCTTCCTCTCGAGGCAGTTCTTTCAGAATACCATTCAATTCTTTGAACAGCTGTGCCTGGATTACCAAGTTCAATGATCTTGAATGATAAATCTTAAATATTAAAATTAAATAATTTTTAAAAACATTCACTTGCCTCGCGTTGAATGAGATCATTTAAATCCGGAAGGGTAGATTGAAGTTTCTCTGAAAATGTCTGAAGAATCTTCTGAGTTCCTGATGAAAATTGTTCAGACGATCCTAGGGTGTACTTCGTAAGGAGACCTTCAGGGTATTCTGAAACCCTGTGCACTCGGACGCTTCTCTGTTGGTCCACCTCTGTTTGATTTTCTTCATTTAAAAAAAAGCAAAAGACACCGTGCAACAGGTTAATTAATTAAAAATTAATTTATGCAGCTGTCCTTCCTTACCTTTCGATTCCAATTTAGCGAACAACCCATAGTGAAACTGTAACACAAATAAAGTTTTAAAAACGATTTTTAAGAAAAACATAAATTTTCGATTTTCAATTAAACTCACTTGCAGAGTAATTAAAAAAATCACTAGACACTTCATCGTTTGATCACCCTCTATCTTGAATAATTACGAAAGAATCAATGGTCAACGATGGTGTTGCGTTAAATGAATGCCTCTGATAGAGCAGTCGATTTTATAGCACTGATGTTGCTTGATTAAATGAACAACGGTATGCTATGTTTCTTAAACATTTTTCCCAAACATCCGAATGAAATCGAACCCACAGTTAACTTACATCGAGATGTGTAAACTTATTGCGAACTAGAATATTCTTTGCTGCTAATTAAAATGGTTCATTTAGATTCAGGTGATGAAAGGATTAAATGAAATAGGGATGTTAAAGAAATAAAATTCGTTCGGGAATAATAGTAGAAAAATTTATTGTACAAATATATTTATTCAAAATTCTAATTCCTTATCGTCCAAATCCAATAGAGCTGTAATAGAGAAAAAATTGTGAATTTCTAATTAAATCTGAGGATTTTATTTTAATAATTGATAAATGAAAGGGTATTTACCCAGCTTGCGCACTAGCATAGGATGCGCTTCCATATGGAACACCATAACCACCACCGTAACTAGGGTAACCACCGTATCCATGACCGTGTCCATGACCACCATATCCATGACCACCGTATCCGTGTCCATAGCCGCGATAAGGATAACCATGCCCGTAACCACCGAAACCACCTACTTTAAATCCACCAATGATACCGAAACCACCCACGCCACCCAAACCACCCACACCACCATGATGTGGATCTGCCTTTGCTTCTCTTGCCATCCTCGGCAACGACGTTTCTAGAATTAAAGTTCGAGTGTTTAGAATGATTTTCAGATTCTGAGGTAATAATTTGTGACAGGTGTTAATGATCGCTAAGTATGTACGTTAAAAGATCAATCATCGTACTAACAAAGCGCATTTGATACCATTCGAGATGTTAATCAGTTTATGTATTTTCAAGAATCAAATAGAAAATTTATGAAATTTATGCATTAAAAAGATTAAGAAAAATTCTATATTTTCTTGACTTCTTCTAATATAAATACTAAAGTTAACACGGAGCCTCAATTTAAAAATAGACAAAAATTATTCCACTGCCTTCAAAATTTGTCACTTCTAAATTATTTAGAAATTTGGAAATTTTTGGTACCTTGTTCGGAAGCTGGATAGGCAAAGGCGATCGCCAGGATGGCAGCGAACGCTATCAGCACAAATTTCCCCATGTTTTCCGGCGACTCGCTGTTCGGATAACAAACTCCCTCGAGGATCGAGTGTGAAATGACTATGCGGAGATCAAGAGGTCGATCCTTTATATAATGTAACCGCGAACGTTCTGGGATGCCCCAACAGATACAAAACGAGTATTCTTCACTGAGAATCGTCGTATCCCATTAGCACGGACGATCCTTGTCTTTCGTGAAGGTGATGGACACGGTTTGATATGCAGACGATTTTCAAGAATGAACAATAAAGTAACGATGATACAGCAATATTTCAATATTTCTTTGTGAACGATAAAGTAGAAAAAGAAATGTCTTTCATTTTTCACTTTAATCTTATTTAGATCTGCTCTGTTTTATTCGTCTGTGTTTCTTCATCTTCATCAGCGTTTATATTTAGAGCTGATTATTGCATTTAAAAAATCAAGTGTTCTTCAATAATGTTTTATTCATATCATTTTAAGGATATCTACTTCGAAGGCCACGATGCACCAGGCTTCGTCACTATTATTTATAATAATTTATGCAAACTGTTGCAATCAGAGTCATCGCATCAAACGATAAATTAAAGTGGTTATAGAAAATTCCACCTCCGGACAGTATGTTAAAAAACAAAAATTATTTTACCATTATTGTACTATAATCGTTGTCTGGCAATGACAATGGGTCGCAGGAAATTTTGAAATCGTAGAGCAGAAAGATTCCACGATAACGTGAAACATGCGTACAATGAATCACACCAGTGTTGTCAATGTAAGAATAATATGACTAATTGTTTTGTACACATAATTTCAAGGATAGAACGAGACGATTCCGTCTAACACGTATGTTTGCCGAATCAATTCGAGCTCCTTCGTGTCGCGTTTCAGGTTCTTCTCCCTAATTACGTCAGTGGTAAAACCGTCCTCTTCAGCATCCTAAAAGTGTTTGACTTTGAATTTGAGTGCTTTGCTCTCTGACTTTGTTTTTCAAACATAATAAAAAGTTAAAAATAGATTTCGTTAGAAAATGAACCATTTGAAATATAGGAAAGTGAGAGGATAGAGAAAATTATAATCGAATAAGATTGATCGTTTCTTTTTATTTTGAAAATAATTCTAACATTCGGCAGTAACAATAATTCTCGATAGAATTTATCATGGAACCTCAGCAATGCTGAGGATTCACAAGCTATTCTCTAACGCAGATCTAAGAGCTATACTACAATCGCGTGATCAGTTTCGATCGATTTCTCGTCTAAAATTTATGGCAGTAACGTTTCAACAATGATGCGAACCCTTTCAACGATCGACTTAATATTGCACTTGTCCGTTTGATTTATTATTAAAAATCCTCACCTTACGAGCTAAGAATCTAATGATTAAAAATGAAATTAATTATCCTAATGATAAAATATCGATTTTTCATAAGAGAAACATTTTTGAATTTAAGATTAATCAATTATAATTAACTTAATTATAATAATAGGTGATCGTAAAGGGTTGGCATAATTTGATTAAGTATCTCTACTTGTTTCACGAGACAAGAGTTAAATCTAAGGACCTCTTCTCTGTTTCTCTCACAATCAGGCGATTATCTGGTCGCTTTTTCACCGCCTTGGCGATTAAAAGAGGTCTGTCCTGTCTGCATATTAATGTCGCGTGGAATATTGATTTTAACGGTATCGAGAGGCAGCTCACCCGTCTAGCCTCGTTTATTCCTCGGACGTCGGTGCAGGTCGTTTTTTCCTGTCGAAACAATCATTATGACCCGTTGAAATCTTGAAGATTAGAAAATAGATGAAAGGTATTTGAATTAATTAAGCTTACCCATTAGGAGATCCGCCGTAAGCGGTTGCTATTGAACTAGCAACACCTCCTTTAGCAGTAGAATAACTATTAGCGATCGCAGTCACCGCTCCTGGTGGAGATCCCGGGGCTCCAGACCGGGATGATCCTCCAGGAAAGCTGAACACCATCGGGAAGAAGTTATTCAAATTCGGGTAATTTTGTCGGCGACGATTTCCCTTGAAAGGAATGAAAGGAACCGATGGTTCATCGTCGTATTCTTCGTCGTCGTCTTCCTCCTCCACTACTACCGGTGTCTTCTTAGTTTTCTTTCCTTGTTGAACTTTTGGACGATTAGTAACCACTTCTGGGACCGTGTGAACAGGCTCCTCTGCTGGAGTCACCGGAGCTGCCTCTGTGGTGTACACTGGGGCTGGTTCCGGTTCCGGTTGTTCCTGTATAAAATTTTCAAATTTTCAAAAACCTTCACCCTATTTCTAAATTAAACTTTCAAAAACCTTCACCCTATTTCTAAATCAAATTTTCAAAAACTTCACCCTATTTCTAAATTAAATTTTCAAAAACCTTCACCCTATTCCTAAATCAAATTTTCAAAAACCTTCACCCTATTTCTAAATCAAATTTTCAAAAACCTTCACCCTATTTCTAAATTAAATTTTCAAAAACCTTCGCCCTATTTCTAAATTAAATTTTCAAAAACCTTCACCCTATTTCTAAATCAAATTTTCAAAATCCTTCACCCTATTTCTAAATTAAATTTTCAAAAACCTTCACCCTATTTCTAAATCAAATTTTCAAAATCCTTCACCCTATTTCTAAATTAAATTTTCAAAAACCTTCACCCTATTTCTAAATCAAATTTTCAAAATCCTTCACCCTATTTCTAAATTAAATTTTCAAAAACCTTCACCCTATTCCTAAATTAAATTTTCAAAAACCTTCACCCTATTTCTAAATCAAATTTTCAAAACCCTTCACCCTATTTCTAAATTAAATTTTCAAAAACCTTCACCCTATTTCTAAATTAAACTTTCAAAAACCTTCACCCTATTTCTAAATGAAATTTATTTTACCTGAGCAGGAGGTAAATGTTGCTTTTGATGTTCCTCTTCTTCCTGATGATGCTGTTCCTCTTCTTGAGGATAATGTCCCTCCTCCTGATGATAATGATGGTGCTCCTCCGGCTGGTAACCTTCGTGTTCCTGCACCTGAGTTTGCTCCTGCTCGTCGTAAGTATGTTCAGGCTCCGGCGCAGCTTGGGCCTCCGCGCTGGAGACTTCCGGTTCTTCGATCGGTTCCGGGCCGTTCTTCAAGTGTGGCGCCTGCATGCCACCGAAGAAGGCCTCCCCGCTCACCGCGTTACCTTGGGCGAACACACCTGTCGCTTGGCCAGCGTGATTAGACCGTCGCACCGGTCTGTAGTAGCCGGTGAACATCATGGCTCTGTGAGGGTACGGGTGGACCGCTGTCCTCTTCTCGCGGAGGAAGACTATGGGGTTGCCGTACGGGTCTAACATTACTGAAACTTTGGTAGGAAAATTAAATGAAAATGGAATTGAAATTTTCTTAGCCACTTGGATGGCTAATTTTATTAGCCAAAGATTCATGATTAGGTTTTAAATAGACAACCGATGGTTTTAACGGATTATCCAGTGCGGTAAAAATACTTACTAGGCTCGGCAGGAATAGCCCTAGACTCCGTCACAGCGATCGTCGTCGCCACGACGAGCAGGACGAAGCTCATCCACTGCGCCATCCTCGAAGACCGTACGATAATTAAACTCCAATTAAGCAGATATAACTCCTTGGAACGAATCTTCCTTCGGAACACCGTTGCTTCCGGTAACCAATGGTGACTCGTGAATAATGGAAGCACTGGACACCTGGTTTTATTAGCTGGGTCTACCTGGTTCGCGGACTTTTTGCACGATGCTGGTATCCTCGAATGCGCAATTGCTTTTATACCAGGAGCTAGGATCACGAAGGGGGATGGGATGGGATGGGCGAACGATGACACAGGCTATGGGATGGATCGGTCGGATCCAAGACAGAAGAACGGGGATATGGTACCCCTCTGGTTCCCCACCATCGTTCGTCAGGTGGTTGCCTCGTACCCAACAGAATCGTCGTAACGCAAACGTGCGCATCGTTCAACGATACGTGATCGTCATTTTTGATTGGATCCATGTTG